CACAAAACTTAAGAGAGAAGCCATTCAGATTACTATACAGAAACATTTAAAATGGGCTCATTAAATGCAAATTAAAACAGAAACACTGAATAAGCACTGGGCCCCCATTAAAGGCTGAAAAGACAGCAGGTAAGAAACAATTTTCAATGATCAAAGAACTAAAAGCTAACAGAATAAAGTATTCTGCATTGAAACTGCTTTCATGAATATGAAGCATTTTGAACTAAGGAGAATTTTTTTTCTCTTCACATTCTTCAAAGAAGCTTTGGAGGTGGAAATGGATTTGCGTACCTTAGTACAAAGTACTTTCATTGTTTCATTTTCAGGCAATGAAGCTATGAGTTTCAAAAAAAAAAAATACAGACTTCAAAAATAGCCTTTAGAAATAGCTCCAAAATCTAAAAGGTCATAAAGTCATTATTTTAGAGCTTTTGGACTCAAAGAAATGTACATAGTTATGCAAAATCTTCTATGCTAAAATGTAGTAGAAGTTCTTTTGTGACACAATCCCACCTCATCGTAAAGAGAAGCTTCAGAGCCCTGTGCCGGTGCTGGGACATGGGTCGTCCTCCCTCCAAAGGCAGAGGAACGACAGGGCGGGCAGAGTGCACAGCTCATTCAATGGGAAATACCAGTTCTGAGAGTTTAACATTCACCGCATTCAAGCCTTAAAACAAATGTGTAGGCCTGTGGGCCAATAGTAAAGTCGGACTGCCCAATCCTGATGGCAGGGCATTTTTTTCTGATTTTTTACTCATGTATCCCGGCGCCTGGAGCAGTACAGGGCACACAGTAGGTGCATAATTATTGGATCTGCTCTTGTGAAAATAACAAATGCACTGTTATATGAGAAGTGAGAAGTTTTTCCTTCATACATTCATCTTACTAATTAAAATACACTGGTTTTCATCTCTCAGAAGGCAAACATAAAAATATTTCATAGGACACAGGGGAAGTGAGCAGTCTTACAAATACTGTCGGAGAGGCAGGGCCGCCCCTGACCACTGCGCAGCCTGGGTACTGCTCACAGGTGCTAGCCCTGGGCATGGGAAGCGGGGGTACAGGAGAGAGAAGACACCCAGTAAGTGCTCCAGGGGGTGTCTTTCAGCCCAGAGGGGCAGCTCTTTGGGCCTTTTTGTGATAGATATGAGTGTAAGATAGTATGCTTAACTTTAGAACAATTTGGAACTACCAATACTTTGCAGAATTCAAAATCGACAAACACTTTGCCTTGTCTAAAAAACCTACCTTATTATTTTTACTGTATATATATGCTAACATATGCAAATAAAGTGATATAGTCACAAACATTCTGATGATAGCACTTGTCTGTAAACTTACTGAGGCTCATTTATTGAAAAGCATTTGAGTAATTTATGTGCATCCATAAATAAAAGATTAGGCAGGGATTACCATGCAATACATGTGTGTTAGTTTTCTAAGAGACGTTAAGCTAAAAAAGGGACAGAAGGGACTATGTTCTCGTTACTATATAACTTTAAATCAAAAATCTTTTTAAAGAATAAGACATTGAATTTGACTTCCAGTCCTAGCAATGGTGTTGCACATATGGTTACGTGCTTTAATATCTGATACCACTCAAACACCTCAACCCAGTTTGTCAGGACACTTAGCAGACAGCACAAACATCACTATTAAAACTCAATTTTAAACACAAAGGCTTGCCAACTTAAAAAAAGGCTGAAACATATTTTTCATAAAGATGTCAACCAACCAAAAGGGGGAAGATATTTGCAAACGATACCTCCAATAAGGAATTAATATTCAAAATACATAAAGAACTCATATAACTAAAAAACAAAAAAAATAAACCATCCAGGTAAAAAGTGAGCAGAGGACCTGAACAGACACTTCTCCCAAGAAGACATACAAATGGTCAACAGATACTCAGCTTCACTAACTATCAAGGAAATGCAAATCAAAACTACAGTGAGATACCACCTCACACCTGCTGGAATGGCTGCCATCAACAAGACAGGTAATAGCAAGTGTGGGAGAGGCTGTGGAGAAACAGGGACCCTCATTCTCTGCTGGTGGAATGCAAACTGGCACCGCCACTGTGGGGAACAGTATGCAGGGCCCCCAAACATCCACAATAGAGTTACCCCATGACCCACAATCCCTCCCCTGAGCACCTACTGTAGGAAAATTTTGAAAACACTCATTGGCAAAGACACATGCACCCCTATGTCCATTTCAGCATTATCCACAGAGGCCAAGACACGGAGACACCGAAGTGTCCTTCGACAGGGGACTGGATGAAGAAGACATCGCACGTGCGTACTACTCGGCCGAAAAGACGAAATGCTGCCACTTGTGACAACACAGAGGGACCTGGAGAATCTCATGCTGAGCATTTAAAATGAGTCAATCGCTGAAAGCCAAGAACTGTATGATTTCACTCACATGTGGGGTATGAAACTGAAAGCAGTAAGTGAACAAACGATACAAACAAGGGTAAAGCGGAGTAAAGGGTAAAGCAGGTCAAATACGAAAAAAGAGGTGCCAAAAATTATATTTTCCTAAGTTGAATTTTCTTAAGGTTTCCCCATCCTGCTTACATTATCTTAAAGTCCTTCCCCATACTTCTCACAAAGTCATAATTTTTCATTGACTTCAATTAAATTCCACTTCTGTAGCTGTCTAGGTCGGGGCATTTAACACATCAGTCATTAAATTATCCCAGTGAAAATGTAAGCAATTTTGAAACGGTCTCTGTGCCAGGAGGGAAATCTGGGTTTTAAGAAAGGAAAGGGAAGATAACTGTGTTGGTAGAGAGGTAATAATTTATTCCTGTTGTACCAAGAAACCCATGTCCTGGTTTTCCTCAAAAGTGAGCCAAGATTTAAAGGAAGCGGAAGAGTGCGGTCCACATTAAAGAGGCTGTAGTGACGCAAGAGGGCAGAGACGTGCAATGGCGAGCTCCGAGGACACACATCTTTACACAGAGAGAAACAACCCCCAGCTATATAGCTGTGCACACTCAATCGCCAGCTTATCACTGGGTATAAACTGGAATGCCGTTCCAAAGTTTAGTTTCCAAAGTTTGCCTGCTCCAAAGTTTAGTCACATTAACAGGAAGCCCCGCCCTCCACACCTTCCCTGCAAGGCCTCCAATCTCCACTGCTTTACCCCTCCCTACCCGAGGCAACCAAGCCCCAAATGGCAGTGAAAATGTCTGTTCAAATGCATCTACTGATAGATGCAGGCAATGCAACTAGTTATGTAAAGTAATTTGTTGCACATTGTCCACAAGATTGTTATTTGAAAGGCACTTAAACCCATGGTTGGGCCGCGGATTTAATCACCTATTTTGTAATATACACTTATTGAAATCCACCCTACATTCCCATGTCATTACCAGTTAGGGATCACTGTCTAATCACCAAATCCAAAGATCACACTCTTCCTTCTTGTGTTCCTCAATCCCAAATAAAAACAATTAAACTGCCTAAACATATTGCGTCCTAATAGTTACTTGTATAATCATTTATTAGCTATTAATTTAGAATTAAGTGATGATTTTTACATCTTAAATCACTATCTTTACATAGCTTTATCATGAACTTGCTTCTTTAAAAAATATTCACACACTAGATTAAGTAGAATTAAAATAACATTGGCACAAGCATCTTCGAAATAAGTATACCTTATCTGACAGTATTTATTTTGAAATTTTTTTCTACTTGGTTTTCTGATTCAGTTCAGATTAGTGTTTACAGGTGGTTCTTATGCAATTCTCACCTAAAAACTCAAAAGTTTTAAAAAATGTGTACATTTTTCTTGATTTGGTAACTTTCAAAAGTCACGCCACGCTAGAAACTGAAGAAAAACTGGACCGCAGCCGCAAGTTTTCCCACGGCTCAAACCGCTCCAGCCAACGGTGTGAGTCTCCCCAGGCCTGGCCGACGGTTTTACTCTTCAACATCCATTTAATACAGAAAAGACAAGAGCTTATCACTGCATGCAAACTTTCACATTTTAACAATCCACCTCTCATCTTTACGGATTGACTACATCCGACTCCAAATGCACTTGATGTCATCCAAAGTGTTTTGTAAATGGTGCTCATTGGGAATAATTCCCAAATAAACTCACCAAACCGATACATATTCTAGAGCAAGCCTCTGTGGTAATAGACTCCTCAACCCCCCCCATAAACCATGTGAGCAGTGGGAGGCAACGTTTTCTAATCACACTATGCATTTCCACTAATTTTCCTAAAATAACTGTCGGCTTAACGATCCTTGAATAGAGGAACTTTGTTGTACAGTGTTTATAAACAATTCTAACAGCCACTTCCAAAGCTTTATTCACAATAATGCACCTAGGTCGTTCTGCTTAATAACTTTTCATAATGAATACGTTACGTTCATTCTTTATGCAAAAAGTTTTAATCCTTGTATTATTTGCTCTTTATTATTCTTTTACGTCTGACCGCCAATGAGAGATTTAATAGGAAAAATTTCAGGGAGCAAGAAGTTTAAATCCACCTGCAGGAATTTCTTAGGCTCCCCACTACCATCACCAGGTTCCTTCCATTAGAGTTTAACACTCGGCTACGGACTCCCTTAAAGAGCCCCAGACACTGGGTATACACTACGTTGTCTGTCTGGTCTAAGCTGGGAGACAGCAGCCCAGGGGACCTCGGCACGGAGCCCCCAAGTCTGGAGGGCAGCGCGCTGGGGGCAGGACCGCGGGGCGGGGCTTCACCTTGGGGGCGCACAAGTGCAAACCAGGTTCCTTCGCCACCTTGTCACAGCGGGCAGCCTGTCAAACCAGGAGTGGGGCGGGAGCTTATAGCAACACACACTCTCCCGCAGCACAGCGGGCACCGGGAGGCCGGCGGCGGGGACATGGCCTCGCTGTCACTGACAGTTGGCACCCCGGGTGGGGGGAGGAGGCACTGTGGAGTCCCCGTGTCCCGCGGACTGGCGTGGCGCCACAGCAGGGCGCAGGGCGGCGCAGAGAGGCTGTACCTGACAGGCACCACGTACCGATCATGGTCACTGGGCAGGTGAAGACTGCTGGACATGAAGGGGGCCACCGCGATCACAGGCGCCAGCCAGCGCCTCTCACCAGGGGCGTGTTTTCGGGGGTTAAATCGACCAAGACTCCCTTCCTCCGCTCCAGGCTGTCGGAGTACGCACGCGCAGAATGTGAGCAGCCCGCGGCCTTCTGGGAGTCGTAGTTTTAGCGCAAAGTTTCACCCCGCCAGCCGCCCGCCGCTCTTCCGGGTTAAGGCCCAGGAAACATACGTCACCGGGGGTGGGGCCATTCACCCACGCACTGTTGACGTGTCGCTTAGCAACCGAGAAGCTCACCTGTGGAAGCGCGTTGTAGCTCCAGCCTTGATCCCGCCTGCTTCCCGCCCCGCCCCTCCCCTCAAACCCCGTCACCTAGGAGCTGCCCAACATCTGGATCAACCTGGGCACGACGAGCGGTTGCATGTCTACCTTTAACGCGCCTTTTGACATTTTTTCCCCGACCTCCTCACATCCGTAAAACCTACTGATTCTTGTACTACACGTTTTGTGAGAACAAGACATTTTCTAGGAAGATGGTGGCAGAAAAAAAGACCCTACCCAAATGCCCTGAAAAGATGCCGAAGAAGAGGACCAAGCTGCTGGCCCAACAGTCGCTCCCGGCGCACCAGCCTCACACCCTGGTTTCTGAGGGCTTCACAGTCAAAGCCATGATGAAAAACTCAGTCGTAAGTGATTTTGCTGACTTGAATGCACTCGCTGCAAATCAGTGGACACAAGGTTACCCAGGTTGGCCGGCCCTGGCATGGAGCCATGACCTGGGTGGTCTTTGCCAAAAATGGCAATTACTCGGCCAGTAGCAGACGGTGCCCAACTTGTGGCGGTCCAGGCTAGGTTGTTAGGGAGGATCTTGAGCCAGTGATACTCCCTGCGCATTTATAAGCACTTTTCTAATAGTTTATGGTTTCTAGACCACCCAAAATTACCCTTAAGGCCTAAGACTTAAGACTTACGGTATTCGTGAAGGAAAAAGACACCCTTTGTTATTCCTTAACTAGCCCCACTCGGCAGAAGGCCTTATAGGTAGCCAGTTCTTAGGGACCATAAACTCTTTTGCAAATTTGCCATGTACTTATATACAACTGGGAATATAAACTCATTAAATAGCCTACAATTAGAAATCATTCCCTCAACCTGGGGAATATCAGAATATCCTAGCATTTAGTCTAACAACACTCTTTACTGTAACAAAACTCTTTCTTATTAAGTGGTATCAGCTTGTTAGAATACTAAAAGGCAACTTAATATGTCTATTTCCAACCATACCTTTTAAATGATGATTTTTTAAAATCTAAGCTTCAGTTAAAATACCTCTGGCTATTAATACAATTCATATTTCATTTTTATTATTTATGGTAGTTAAAATAGTTTCAATACTGTTGAGGAAAAAGGAATAAGTGCTTTAACTACTTGCATGATAAGTTTTTAAAAAGCCTTTCCATCTGTTGTACAGCTTCAAATTTTATATGCTATACTCAGTTTTACTAGTGTGAAGCACCTGTCTGAGAATGAGATGTTAAATAATAAATACAGCTTTCAAATTTGTATAATTTACTCTCTGAGAGGATCTGACTTACTACATAGTAACTCATTATGTTAAATGAATAGTGTTGCTTTCCAGTGTCACATTATTTGTTTTACATAAATGTTGCAAAACTAATACCTATTCCAAAACCACATTCTCAATGAAAACATTAATGAAACAGATTACCTCTAGAACCCTAGGTTTCATTTCCATGTTGGTAACAAATGATATTCTGGTTACTGGCACGTGATTTACAATAGTTAAAATTATTCTGAGTAGATGAGAACTTCCGCTGGTCGTAACTTCAGTCATTGTGTGTGTATTGCACGTGACTAGGTGGTCACGGGAGGCAAGATGACTATTTATCAGCAATACCAAATAATATAACTGTTCAAGTGAATTATTTGTTTTTTCTTATGATCATAATCTTACTGACTTTTCAGTGCTATCTATATTTTTGCACAGATGTAAAATATATTGGTCTGATTATTTCTCTAAACCTATGTTCATAATCATGTCTTTTTTTTAAAGGCCTTATACTAAAGTCACAGCTCTGGAAAATCAAATATTTCAGTATTGCCAAATGTAGGGAGTATCCTTACAAAACTCAAAAAAAACCAAAAACCCAGATTATGAAGCCTTCTTTATAAAACATCTTATTGGAGATAAGTGATCTTATTTTCATATTTTTAAGGAAAATATATTTGTGTAATACCTATTTTTCTACTGGGATCTTCAAAATATTTCACTTTATTCAGTAGGAATCATAATTCATAGATGCAAACATTATTCAGCCATTCATTTAGTCATTCAATCAATACCTTTTTAAAAACAGTTTGACTAATAACTTGTTAAACACAGTTCTGGAAATTTAGGATCAGTAAAACAAACTCCCTGTTCTTAATATTCCAAGGAAAACCACCACCAACAACAAGGATAAAATCTTGATAACAGAAAGGTAGGCAATACTGTTTATATAAACTAACTTCAGTGATATAGAAAATAAAACCATTTTCATAACCAGTGATTATATTTCACTGTTCTGTTTTCAACAATGTAGAACTTTTGGCATTATAAAGTCAAAACATCCCTCTTTTTTAAGTTTTATTTCTATTCAGAAAATAATATGCCGATCTCCAGCTTTTCTTCATTACAACCCCTTGTTCTGAAAACCAGCCCCCCAAACATTTTTCTAGAGTTAGGGCTCACCTTCAGTTCCCTCTTTCAAACACTTGCTAATAAATACATCACCATCCAGTGGTGACTGGAAAAGACACAAAAGACAGACAGAACGGTACCCCAAGGAGTTGTATGTGTGACTGTTCTGTTGCTGTGAAAGTGCTTTAGTAATATAAGCACACAAACTCGATCGTAAACAGATTTGTTCAGGCGGGCTGTGCCAGCAGAAATCCTAAAGTCCTAATTTATATACGAAGTGCAGACTTACTTATAAAGTAATAGTAAATGTAGATATAAAGGCTTTAAATCCCAGTATCAAATGTTCTTCAATAGTGAGTGGTCCCATGACTTGCTTGAAACTGTTGTTGCAGTCTGTATGCAAACAAGCAATGATAGAAGCCGTGCAATCAGATAATAATATTCAAATCCATATCGTTGTACTGTTTGCCTGAGAAGAGCGATATGACATTTAGAATGTGAAGATTTTACAGTCCACTTCCCCTTTGAAGGCCTTGTCTGTGGGTGGTACAGGCTGGATCGGAAACCAGTAGCTGCCTGTGCACTGGCTTCATCTCAACAGCAGGTGCTCGCCACGCTCATCTGCCTTCTGAGGAAGCAAGTTAGGTCATGGGTCAAAGGTTATGATAGAGAAATCGATGGCAAGGAAAGCTTTATATTGCTGTTTTCCTTTTCCATAGACCATAGATGTTTCATGCTCAAAAGAATGGTGAAAATATTTACTATTAGCTTAGTTACCTAGAAACGTTTATACTTTCAATCATATTCATTCAAAACACAGTGGTGTATGTAGATAGTCCATATTTATAAATTATATTTTAAGGTACTGATTTGGCTGTTGTTCACAAATAACAATAGCTTAACTAAGGTGGAAGCTGCTTCTCTCGCATACAAAAGTCGAAATCTGTACCCAGTCCAGGGAGGGCAGGTCCTGCTGCCACACCACATAGGTCCAGGGACACAGGAATCTTGTTCAGCCCCCTGTAGGATGACACCCTGGGTCAAGGCGGGCTCACCACCACCAGGGTCAAGTTCCTACCCTCAGGAGGGAGGCAAGAGGAAGCAGAGAACTTCCTCTAATGGCATGACCAGGACACTGTACCACATTTTCACTCGCATCCCACTGGATAGAATTTATTCATAGACCTGCATTTTCTCTCTTTGCAAATACCTGTGAAAGATAAATTCTTGCAGCCACTCCCGACCACCACCTCCATTCCACCAGGAAAAGGCTAAAGAAAGAGTATGTGGTCCCAAAAGGGCAGAATCTCCAACACCTATGTCACGCAGCAGAGATAAAGGGGGAGGAGCCACTGCAAGAAGACAGGCAGAAGTGGAGGGCAAGACACTTCCTTAGAAGGGGTGCCAGAAGGTGCACCCCTCACTTCTGCTCCCATCCACTGCCAAAACTTTGCCTTTGTAGGGGAGGCTGAGAAATACGGTCTCTCTTACTGTTAGCCCTGTGTCCAGCTAAAAAGCCTTAGGTGCTTTATTACTGTAATAAAGGCAACGAGGGAAATTGGGGGGTGGTGACATGTGTCCTCCACCAATACTGAATGTTTCTAGTGGAGAAGACAAGGAAAGGAGTTACTGTACAAAGAAATACACATCCACCAATACTCACTGCAGTGGAAGTGCCACTGCACTTCCTGTTGTCACAGGATGACCAGTGACAACAACCAGATGGAGGCCCACCTCACCTTGTGTCTAGGTTTTTACAGTGTCATCTGAACAGGTTGCTAGACTCCATCCACCGAATGCCTGCTCGCCTCAATCGCCCACCACTGCTGTTAAACGCATCTTTCCAGGACAGTGCTCTCTTATCACTGCCGAAAGCTTTGGGGTCCCTTCAATTCTTATAGAAAAAACAGGCCTGGTCCCTCCACAGGGCCTGCTGGGACCTAACCCTATGCTATGGTGTTAACTTCATCTCTCTTCATCGCTGGCTTTGGCCAAATTAAACTGTAAGTCTTCAGAGTGGTGATCTTGCTCACTCCGCTCCCTTTGCTTGAGGGCCCTTCTCTCTACATATCTGCACGCTGAATCTCCTCCGTCATTAGGTAACAGATATGTCCTGGTCACTGGGCCGCCTGCTGTTGTAGGTGCTGGAACCTAGCGGTCAGGAACAGGGAGAAAAAACGCCCGCCTTCACGGAGCGGCTGAAATGCCAGCTGCTTTCACTCTCTCCCTTTGTCAACCAAGACAGACACTGGTCTCTGCTCATTGTTTTCTTTTTAATTGATTTTAGAAAGGGGAAGTGGGGGAAGAGGGAGAGAAACATTGATCAGTTACCTTCTGCGCTTACCCTGACTGAGGATTGAACCTGCAACTCAGGCACATGCCCTGACCAGGAATCGAACCCCTGACCTTTCAGTCTGCAGGATGATACCCAACCGACTGGGCCGCATCAGCCGGGGCTGTTTTCTGCTGTGTAGAAGTGACTTGTGCTTATGCTGTAGCTCCTCTCGGGCATTCCCGGTGAGGGCAGCACCTGCGTCTCACTCATTCCCATCATCCTAACCAGCACCCATCAGTGCGTTCAAATATCTGATGGAGGAAGGACCGCAATTCTGCCCTTTCCTTCTGTGTCATCATCTCCTTCTTGTTGCTCTGATTGTTTTCTGTCTCTAGTTCGGATTTTGTTTCTTTCTTTAACCGCCCTCCTCCACTCCAGGAGCCCAGCGTGATCAGGACACTACTCCCCTCTAACCCTTGGGCAGCTCCCCGTCTCACTCAGAGTAAAAGTTGGTTACCCTTCTAGGTAGGAGGCCCTCAACCAGCCGCGTGCCTTCTTCATCCTTAACCTCAGCGCTTTCTCCCTCCCTCATCCTGTCCTGCCCACAGTAGGTTCCCGCAGTTCCCTGTGTTCAGATGCGTGGCTGCCCCGCACCTTAGCCCGGCTGTTCCCTCTGCCTGAACGCAACGTCCCCACGGGTCACTATCTCT